GATCATTCTTTCATGTGTTTTCGTGGTTTATGTGGGTACATTTCAAGAGATTTCTGCACCGCAATTGTATTAAAATGTCTAGTTTCTCTCATCCCGGTATCTGATCCGTCATGGTCTCCAACTGCCCGAACCATGCTAGTAGAAACGTGTAAATCATGGAGACCCTGTCAACTCCGTTGAGTGTGGATCCTCTTGTTATCATCTCCAACATTTTCAAGCAGCACATGACAACAAAACGGATTTTAAGACGCACAATAAATCGGAACACTATTGGAAATAAGAACAAGAGTTGTACAGGAATTTTAATTGTAAGCGTGTAAAGGCCTAATTGGAAGAATCAACAATAAAGTCATTTAAAATAAAAGAATTGCATTAGAAAGTAAAACAATTACGGATGATCAAGTAGAAATGTAATTTATAAATAAATATTTAAAAAACGTAATTATACCAATATAATTAATGCGTGTCTGCAGGGTAAGAGGAATTATTGAAAAATAATTTACCATAATATTTTACGTGGGCTGTAATTTGACGCAACTGCATGTTAAATAAGTGTTTATGTTTTTGCTCGAAGTAAAATTGCATGTAACTATTTTTATTTTTGAACTTAAACATTAAAATAGTTCAGGTATCATGTATGCTATTATGTAGATATGAAAGTGCATATTGAAGGCTAATTTTCGCTACACTATACGCAGAGGAAGAAGTAGTAGTAGTAGTAGTAGTAGTAGTAGTAGTAGTAGTAGTAGCAGTAGCAGCAGCAGCAGCAATGCCTTAGTAGGCGAAACACGTGTTAAACTTGTAAACAAAAATAAGTCGATGATTGGTTTTGATCCGAATGCGTTGTAGTAGATAATAAAACTAGTTCATGTTACTGAACCATGAAACATCCTTGGGTCTATATTCTGTTCATCTAAAGTATTCTAAAAATTATTATGGTTACACAGTAATATTAATAAAATAAAACGACTAATTAATCACTCCCGTCTGTTGCTGCTATTCCAGAACGCTTAGTAACGTGCCTCCACTCCCCAATATACCTTCAAGTCGTAGAGCAGATACAACTCATCCGTAGCCTTATATAGAATGTTCACATAACTAAAGTATCCTCGAAGCTCTTTGGAGACAGAAACACAAAATAAAAAAATATCTTGAAGAAGACTTAATTTCAGAATCCCAGTCTTCTTACCTTACAGAAGCAACAACTTGAGGATATGTTAGTATATTCCAGCCAACGCGGCACGCCAGACATCCTCGCTTCTTTCCTGAAACGGTAAAACGCGTACCAGTTTACTGAATACATAGTAGAAAGTATATTTTTTCTCTCTCCATTCGCACTATGAGCCTGCAGTTAATGAACATGGCTGCTGGACCCTGACTAGTTTAAAAATGATTCACAGCTGGGACAGAGAGAATGCTTCGTTAGATAATTAACGACGTCGTTAGATTATTGATAGCCCAGGCTTGTACATAAAATGAACTACTGAAATATTTCTTTCAAATATTACAAACAGCAGCATCACCAAAATTTGAGGAAAATGTATAAAATAATTTGAGATTTTAGATTCTTATTGCGGGGAGTATGAAGATGGCTGACTTCTAGGTTGTTACGCCGTGTATTCTGACAGACGTTTACCGACGCCCTGATGATGGAAGCAGCAAGCACCTCTAAAACGTCGGTAGATTTCCACCAGATTACACGACGAAATAACCCAGAAGATGGTCATCTTCTTTAAGCTATTATTTGTTTGTTCTGTCTGTGGAGTTGATATAAACACGGACACGGCCTAGAGCGTGACAAGCGAGAGTTTTCGTTTATTCACAGTGAGACAACGGTTGGAACAAAGGTGATTGTGAAATTCGGAACGCTACGTGTCACGATCAAGCGTGAGTAAGTGAACAAGTCCTTTCCAGGTACACCGAACGTTCCTGCGTTATGTAAAAGATAATTAAGTAGGATATAAGGCGACTTTTTAGAAAGAGAATCAGAATGTTGTATGAAATAATATTCTCCATTGTCGTTTGACTTACATGTGTAGGTGAAAGCAAATCAGATGTCAGAAGATGGCATATCTTCTGGTATCTTTCACCGTCGGTCGTTATCTACCAGACCACACGGCGCAACATCTCAGAAGACAGCCATCTTAACACTCGCCGTCATGAGACTTTGAAATCTCACCAGGTGTCAGAACGTTTTCCCGGGACTTCTTACTGTTGTTTTCAGGACGCTGCTGTTTCATATTTCCATAGCACACTTCATAAACAGGCCCTTTTGCTTATGACTTGAGCCAAAACTGTAAACAATCTTTGAGGTAGAGGCTATATTGTGAAACAAAGGTTCGCTAATATCCTGGAGGTTAGTAATTCCATTGTGCGTCAAGTGATGTGGGGAGTGAACGCCACGTCGTATATGCGGAGTTCTCTTGGGAGCTATAAAGGAAGCCTTGCCAATGTTGACTGTTAACGTTGGCTTCTACACGTCCCTATAGCACTAAGGTAATCTCGGTGACTTCACAGAGTTTTACTCTTTTTCAGATCACTCTTTTATTTTTGCTGTTAGTTCAACGAGCCTTACAACACTACGTTCTGTTTGCTCCCCAGATTTAAAGTACAAAAATCCATTGAAAGAATGTCGTGCTTTATAATTTATTTGTACTTATAGCGATTAGATTTTAATGAAGTACCTCGAATATATTGAGATATTTAACTGTTCGTAACAGGAGAAAGCATTCCGCATTAGTTTTAGGAAAAATGAGTTGACATTAAGCTCATATTACTAAAAATTCAGATATTTCTTCCTGTGTATAGTGAATTATTAATATCTTTCAGGTAGTCAAATTACCTTCATTTTAAGGAACCAGACGATTTAATCATTTTTACTGTAGACTGCTTCTGGGCCCTATGCTAGCCACACACATCAGTCCACACCCTGCCACCCTACTTCTTGAAGATGTATTTTAATATTATGACCCCATCTAAGCCTAGAACTTTCAATTAAACTCTTAGCTTTAGTTATTCGAGACCAAACTTATTCACTAATGTCTCGTCGCCCTCCGTTCGTGCTACATGCCTCACCCATTCATTAAATTTTCATTTGATCATTCTAATGTTTACAAAGTAGTAACTATTAAGAATCTCGTTATGCAGCGTTTCTAATTGGCTCTGCACAGAATTAACCTCGACAGACTGTTGTATTTATCGAGCAGTTTCGGAGTCAGAATGTTCTTGTGATGGCAAGACACGTTGCTTTCCACAAACTTACGTGCATAGAGGCAAAGAATACAAGATATTTCATCATAGAGGCATTGAAGTTATACTCTACTCAGTAGTGGCGGGACACTTTTTGGTGTTGTATAACATAAGCCACGGTTCTAATCGCACGAATCTTTATTTCAGTTGCAGAACTAACATAGGAGTGACGTAAGACAAAAGATATTTTATTTTTCGTTTTTCAACGTGTTAAACATGTTAACTCGTGGTTCCCCCTCTGTTACCTGCTGTTCTGTTATGCAACAATTTTTATAAAATTAATGTTCACATTTAATTCAGTTGTTCTCATAAGTATTGGGATATCTTAATTAAATAATCTGTATGCAGACATTAAATGTTAATACGGTTATCCTTATGTATAAGCAACAGCTATAGACCGCGTAGCTAAAACTTCATGGTTCGAGATATCGGCACTATATGAATGTGAATGGTAAGCTTCATGCTTTGGACATTTTACCTCGGGAATAAAATCCCCCGTCATATTTTGTATATGCTTTCAATTGGGCTGGATATAGTGGCAAAAGAAAATATTCCTACTATACATGGAAATGAATACTCATTATTGGCTTTAATTTAAGAGTCTAGTTTCAAATTATTGATGATACCTTGACCTTGGTAATAATCCAACTTTATAATTTTAACCCACTCTTATCTATGAAATACGTTCAAAGTACGATACGAAATATCATATTCTGAACTGGTGTTAAAGTAACCATCAGAATTTATGTAATGATTTCATTTATACTTTCTAGACTTTCTTCACATTTATACCTTTTAAATAATTTCTTGTGCCGGCCGCAATGGTCACGCGGTCTGTGGCATTGACCTCGTGCGCCTGGCCGCTGGGACCGTGGGTTCGAGTCTCACTCAAGGCATGGATGTTTGTCTGCGTCCTTTCCTGTTGGATAAAGACTGGTCTCGGAAGGCAAGGCGAAACCACAGTGGTATCTTCGCCAAGTCAAACCCTGTAATGGGGGGCCAACCAATCCTAGGATTTATAACAAAAAGAACTGTGTTCCCTACATTTTCATTCGTTCCTTCCCCCATCACTGTTATTTGTCCTAGGATTTATAACAAAAAGAACTGTGTTCCCTACATTTTCCTTCGTTCCTTCCCCCATCTCTGTTATTTAACGTTTTCGTCATTCTTTTTATAAGTAAAGAAAGATAGCCATTTTCAATTTCAGACTCGCCGCCGTAAAAACCTCAAATCCTACTTTCTATAAGTACTTCTAAAAGCTGCCTTAAACAGAACATTCCGTCATCTAGAGTCATTACTAAGAACTTCAGGTATCAGGGAGCTCATAACATATCATATCGTATTCTGTTATCTGGCCAATGTTAGAAGTATTAAAAAATCATAGAAAACAGCTAAATAGCTGAAAATGTGTTAGGTAAGTTTCCCTGAATATTCAACATATACTTGAAAATTAAAAAAGTTATTTTCTGGAACCAGAATGGAAGTTATATCTTTCATTACTAATTAATATCTCTTTAGTATATTTTCCAACTATCGTGTCTCTTTTTTATTCTTCATCTATAACAATAAGTTGTTCCAATGATAATTTTATGAAATATGTTTTTTCTTTGTGCTTGGCCTGACATGTAAAGTTCAAAGAGAAAGTTTCTCGTCTGAGTCATTGTCTCTAGCATAACTTAGGGCTCATCATGTCAGCTCCAGCGCCTTGTCAGAATATAGAGTAATATAAACTTCTGTACGCCATGTTTCAGCTGTCCTACGCAGACACGCACCCGATGTTTACAAAGCAACACTTCCCCAACTTCTTTCGCGTGGTGCCGAGTGAAAACGCATTCAACGCTCCACGCCTCAAGCTGCTACAGGAGTTCAATTGGACACGCATCGGCACCATCTACCAGAATGAACCCCGCTACTCTCTGGTGAGTTGTCGTAGCTTGGTTGTGTGTAATATCAGTCTTCAGTAAGCCATGCTTGTACTTTCCTTTAGAAACTGGCTTGATATACTCGATAAAATAAAGCCAATTACTTGATGTAATTACGATTATAATACACAGAATATCCGATGATAATTTGATAATTTTCATAATAACCATCTTTCTTTCTTTATTGGTGGGTTGGTTACTAAGTTATCATAATCGGTTTTATAGAGCGATGTGTGTCCACCTCTGTGTGTTAATCATATAATTTATATAACTACTCGTATTAATCTGCTGCGGAATTGCGTTAATAATAAATCAATTAACGGGAATATACAGAATGATCATAAATGATCTGGTAGAGTTTAAATATTTATTCAACAGAAACTAAAAGGCATACAGAAAGAATGCGTTTACTATTGGAAAGAGAACGTAAAACTTCTTAGTGCCTGCTGGAGAAATGGCGTGACTCAAAGTAATGCTAATTGATGATGTGGTAGTAAAATGGCTGCTTTACCCGAGAAAACGAATTTATGGTGCTTCCTCTGATATCTCTGAAGATCAGTAATCACTGAGTTTGTCGAATAGAATTAACACAGACCTCCATTCGTACATGGAAGATATCCCAAAAATATATATTTGTATTCAGACGCTGTGAAAACTTGTCTCCACACAGTGTTATAAGAAATTATATGAAGATTTTACAACGTCTACTCTATTTTCGATGATTTCTTTTCTCATTTATTTGTACGTAAATGTTTCTAAGACCGAGAAAATTCTGAGACACTTTTTCTCAATATATATTACTTCCTATATATAGCGAATGCGTCACGCAATAATTACACATATTTCGGAAAGTCAAGTTATTAATAGCATTATTTATTGCAGTTACCACAGACATATTTAAAATAAGTCAGCTGTATACTTCATTTACTTAATGCAACTTAACAGATAGTAACACTCAATGGCATGTTTTTGGTTTCCTTTTAACTGAGACTAAACTAAGCAATTAAATCGTTTTTAATTTTTGAGTGGCTGTAAAGGTGATGTTGCTTTTGTGCCTTAGGACAGGTACAGATACAGGTGAAGGGAACAGAAAGCCCCGTGTATTTTAGTTGGAGATTTGTGTTCAGCTGCATGCATCGGTGGCTTTATTCCCAAGACATCCTGATACCAGTTATATAGAAAACTGATATGACTGGTAGTAAGTATAGATATTATTAACTCGTAGAAAATCCCTGCATCTCTGTAGGGATTCGAATCTCTGCCGTCTAACTCTAAACCAGTCCATTTACTGACATGCGCAACTCCATCTTTAGAGGGAGAGAGAGGCGAACGTTATTACATTTTAGAATTTAATAGGTGTCTAAAATATTTAACCGGCTTTACTGCGCAACTTTAGAACAGGATTAGGATAGAATAATGAACATTCTGTAGTAAGCTTGCATTCGATTCTGTTGAGTAGGTTTGGTCCAGTCTACAGAGGATAATCTTAGAGCTTCTGTGGTTTTGAAGGAAGAAAGCTGCATCTTGCAAGGGTAAAATCCATTCTACCTCACTCAGAGATTCGGCCTCGAAGCGAACGTGAGACCGATCTTGTGTTTTATTCTCCGTCACAATCAGTTTGGTACTTAGTTCAACAAGGGCATATAGCTCATTCCTTTTTTCTACAATCGTGCCATATCATATGTCCCGTTTCAGTCGGTTGCTTAATGACCGTTTTATTTAGCTTCGGTTAATACTACAGAATAATTATGTGAAGTAAAATCACATGTGGGGGAGAAGCGGTCTTGGGATATATCAATATGCCATCCCGACACGGTGGTCTAGCGGATAGAACGCTGGCCTTGTAATCCTGGGGTCTCGGGTTCGAATTTATAACTTGTGTTGGGCAAGGCCGTGGTCTAGGCAACACGGAGTTTTCCTCCGTGGCATCCCAACAATTACTCCATTCACACACAGAAGAAGGCAATGGCAAACCACTTCTGGATCATCTGCCAAGAACGTATATGAACCGGTCCCAGTCCGAGAAAAGGATGGAAGGATCCTGTTCATTTGGACCTGTCGTCAGACAGAACACTAAATAAATAATTAGTCAATTTTACAACATTTTCTCATCGTTACTTGTAACCCTGACCTTCACCATAGTTGATACCTTGATATTTGCGGTGTCTGCTGTCTTCATAACATAGTGGAGGGTAAATTTTAACCTGATTAATGATACCGCCTGAAATTTATACTTGTAGGCATTATGAACGTGACAGAAAAGTTGCCGACATGATAAGGCACTAGATACAAGCCATTGCATGGAGGATTTATGTACGTAAGTGAGAAGTACTGATGAATCCTCTATCGGGTTTCCTGAGTGTAAAATTTTTCGTTGGATTTGTATGAAGTCAGCACAGCCAAATTGGCTGATAGTGTGTTTTAAAATTCTCAAGGAGATTAGTATGAAGATGACAGTCTTATGGGATGCTGCACCGTGTAGTTTACTGGCGCCTTAGAGTACTTCCTGCCTCCATTATCGCCCTGATGATCCTGAAATGTCAGTAAACGTCTACCAGACCGCATGGCAAAACATGTCAAAAGACAGTTATTAATAACTGCCGGCTGCTTAAAGGAAAACTCTTAATAAACTTTTAAAACAACGCAATCTGAATGTCTGAAAATGTAAAGATATTGATAATTTAAAATTTCAAAAACTCAAACTTAAAAAAAACTTAAATTTAAAAAGTCTACAATTCGAAAGTTTCAAGAATACAGAAATATGTAATGTTCGAATGTTTTGAATATTTAAATTCTTAAAAAATTCAATATTTCACAAAAGACATGGCTGTTTACTGACATGGTTTTGTCGTCACAGTCTCGTTTGTGAGAGACGGTCTTTCACTTTGAGGGCGAAACAGAAAGCACGAAGAGGCCTTACGAGACTTTTGTTATCTCGCGCAAAGCACATGATCCATGGAGATCCCAGTATTTCATGCGAGTACCTATCAATTTTATTTCACCATTTGCTTTTTTGACACCATCTTGAATTTATTTAAGTTGTGTCTAAGGTATGATAAATTCTACAAGATGTAGTATGTGTGATAACAGAGAACATTAGATGTTTCAGCGCCGAAGGGACCAGAAGCTCATGATGCGTTATTGAAGGTATAGTACATCTTTCTTGAAGACAGCTAAAGTATGGATCGGTTGTCTAATTGAAGCCGTACTTGAGGTGTGTCAATGAGCGTATTAGTGTCTGTTTAGGAACTTTCCTGTAACCCAAAGGACTTAACCATGTCATTAACCCTTGTCTATTATCTTCCGAATTATCTCTTCCCCAAGTGCCTGTGATGTGGTCTGTATTCATACTGCTTCGTGCCAAGGAAATTACTATCGTATTTATTCAACCGTTAATATACGTGCATTAGGTTATTGAACATTCCAAGTAGGGTGATTTGGTTTATTGTTGTACAACCTTATTCTTAGAGTCTGGGATAAGAGATGCATATATGAGGTTAAATACGTTGCTGTAGTCTGCATATTATAATTAATTCTGATTCTTTGCTGATAAAATAGGCCAAATCTCTTTAATCCTATTATGTTCCATTCTTCTCATTGGCTGAGAGCTTATATTAGGCCTTCAACTATAATTCTCATAGTTTAGTAATCTCATGAATTACAGTAGAGTAATCATTTTACAGTTGTGTGAAGTGTATACTAATTAATTTAAGCTAATGGTAATTGTATCTGCTTTCGTTTGCCCCAGGTAAGCTTATAATAGTGTTATTAGACGTCTGATTGTAATTATTGTCTTTGGTGTCTCTAATTATTTTAGTGCTATAACCATATCGTGTATTGTATGTTATTTACTGACATTGCATCTACAAGGGACATTTAATTTAAACTTATGTAAGTCCGATTATGAGATTTAACGTAAAGGGCGCAAATCGTCCTGCTGTAACTACGAAACAATAATTGGTCTAGAAATACGGAAGAAACCCACGATTGCACCAGAGTTAGTTCGGTGTTCTGCCAAAAGCAACAGCGAGAAGTGTAAGCTTGCCTTTTCAATAGTTCTTTTGTTTATTTTGTGAGAATATAACCTATTAGATAGCTACCTGACGTTATACAACTATGCTAATTAATATTACTAACAAGAGTCGTTACATTTCGCTTCAGATGTATAAATTGCAACCTGTTCAGAAATCTAACTCTATACTTCATTCCAAAATTCAGCGTCATATGAGCTGCAGTATTGTCACATTGCTTATTTATCGTAATATGTAGAATCAACAAAAAATACTGCTTATATCATGCACTTAGCTGTACATATTAATGACGCATGGATAGGTGATGAACAATTGACTTGTTTCAATTGTACGCTGTCAGCACCAGAAACAACTATGATGCTTAATTCTTTAAATATATTCATTTTTGTGTAGTAAAGCGGGACTATAAGCCAGTAGTTAATACAGAATATAGTTTTATTTTGTATATAATTTCGGTTGCTGTAAATTTTCATGACCTTGAATGTATCACAATATTTCTATGACTGCGTTTATTAGTTGAGGCTTATGTTCGCACCGACCTAACAACGCGTGGCTGATTGACTGACTAACTTACTGACTGACTGACTGACTGACTGACTGACTGACTGACTGATTGAATGACTGACTGACTGACTGACTGACTGATTGACTGACTGACTGACTCGTGCTTACCAACGATGCATTTTATCTGATCATTTCTGTTGCGTTTCAGTGTATGGAGCACCACTGAACCACAAAAGTTAGGTAGAAGACTTTTCATTTTATTTTCGTTTTCCAAAGTGTTAGCTGCCTTAACACGACTGACACAGTTAACATGAACGCTCCGTCCTTGTTAGGATGACATTAGATACAGTACATAGAGACTCCTTATATCATACGATATAGTCGCTAGTGTTTCAGTTATTTACATATTTGATATATCCGTAAGAGGGCAGATGGACATTACTGAAAGTGTGCACGTAGGTA